TCCGACGCAAACGCCAGGCCCCCCCACAAAGGGTCCATGTTCAGCCCACTAAGGCGACCCACGCAGAACGAGTCCGTTTTGACATTCTGCTTGAGCAGCAAAGCACATTCGCGTTCTGGATGGTTGTTTCGGGTTTCTTCAAGCTGACTCAACTAGGTTCCTGTCAACCATTGTGCCCCTTTCAAAGAGCTCGACTTTGGAAGATGGCCGTTTTCCACAAATCCATTCACTCGCTCCTTCTCTCTTTCAGGATTATGCATGTCTGCCTTTTCCTCCTTCTTTCCTTCCTTCTTTATTTTTATTCTTTCTTTGTTTCTGTTCTTTCTTTCTTCTTTTGCTCCTTTCGTCCTGCCTTCCTTTCTTTGTTTCCTTCTTTATTTATGTATGTGCTTCTTTTTGTGTTTCTTTCTTGCTTTCTTTCTTTTATTTATCTTATTTATTTTCCGTTTGTGTTTTCTTTCCTTCTTTTTTCCTTCTTTTGTGTTTCTTTCTGTCTGTCAGTCTTTCTTTGGCTCTATTCTATTTGTTGCCGTCTGTCCGTCTTGCGCTCTGTCTTTATGTATTTGGCTATTCATGTCTTTCTTCCTGATTTCTTGATGGTTGTTTCTATGTTGTTCTTCCCTCCGTTGTTCTTTACTTTGCTCCTTTTCTCTTTCTTTCTGTCTTTCTTATTCGTGTATTCATTACGTTATTCATTTATTCAATTCTGCCATCCGTTCGTCCTTTCTCAACTTCGTTCTGTCTTTCGTTACTTCATGATGTCCTTCACTGCATTCATGTCGTTCTTCTTTAGTTGTTGCTTGATTTCTTTCATTTATTCATTTACCTCCTCATGTCTGCCTTCCTTCCTTCCTTCCTTCCTTCCTTCCTTCCTTCCTTCCTTCCTTCCTTCCTTCCTTCCTTTTTTGCTTCCTTCCTGCCCGCCTTCCTTCCTTCCTGCCTTCCTTTCTTTTGTTCTGTCTTTTGCTCTTTCTTTCTTTCTTTCTTTCTGTTTCTCTTTTCTTCCTTCCGTCATTGCGTCTTACAGTCGGGCGGGCTAGGCACATCAATATTTTTGAAATGTGCTTCGCGCCTATGGGATAACGTCGATGCGACCGGGTTGCAAGGGTCATATCACCTCCACGTTTAGGTTGCGTTTAACCCTTTGAACCATGCTGCAAGACGTATGCCGGGAACCACAAACTACACCGAATTGCTTGCTTCGAGAAGAGCTTTGGGCCATTTAGTTTGCACGATGCAGTGCATGGATTCTAGTCGTTGCACTTTCTTGGAACATGAGTTGCGCCTATGGGCGAACATTCGTTCGTTGGTTTGTCTTTCGTTGGTTCTCCCATTCTTTCCCTTTTTTGTTTTTCCGTTCTGTACTTCTTCGCGGTTGCTCTGGGAATTGCGTCAAGTCCTGTTCTTGTTGATGCCCGCTAAGTGTTGACGCGTGCTGGGTTTTCCCTGATTCCTGTACCACTCTTTTGCGGGTTCCCTACCTGGCTGTGGGTCAAAAATGGGTACCCAAAATGGAACCCTGGTAAATGGAACCCATGACTAAAACCTGCGGTCCCCTGGTGGTTTAATTTTGACCCACACCCACCTTGAGACAAACAAGAAGCTTCCGTGAGTGGCTCGCTTGGGCCTCATCGAGACGGTCGGCTTTGGCCAAGTGTCCGCGGAAAGGGCAGAAGTGGGCCCAAGGCATCGGAAGACGACCTGAGCCCGAGTCATCTTCCCAGGTGAGTCATAATCAAAACCTATCAAAATGGTCGACCCAGAGCCATGCTTCAAGAATTAAGAAGGCGGATATCCGCAGCTATTTGTGGCAAGGGGATTGTCCCTTACTAACCGGATCATCTACCCGGACTTTGAGCAAGATCAGGCCGCGTCTGCGAAGCCACTGAGCCGGAGGCCCAGCAAACGGCTCGTGCGAAGACGCCGTCTTGGCATGCTTCGCCATGGCCTCGAATCCCATGGTGCGGTTGATATTTTGGTGGTCAAGATAAGGGAACACACAAAACGTCCGGCTTCCTTTTGGTTCCCGTAGGTGAAACGGGTACTGAAGACTTCCAAAAAGTCTTACACATCCATGGGTTGCTGCAGGTGGCAAGTTCTTGGCATGGTGAGGGCTATGCGAACACCTGGCAACTTTCCTTGGATCCGGACCGACTTCCTGCCGCCCTTCATAGAGCTCCGTTTTGGAGCCGGAACCGCCCATTCTGCCTGACAGGCTCCGGAAAAAAGACCTAGTAGTTTAGTCATGGATCCTTTTATCAGGAGCTCCACCACTGGGATTCCGAAGGGAACCGTGATCAGGACCCACAGAGGGAGTCTGCACCATGGTTGCCAAACGAAAAACAAAACCAAAAGAAAATCACCGATTTTGGTGGTTCCTATATTTCAACACAAAGCCACGTGGCGAATGGGACGACTGTCGTTTCCAGCCCCTTCCCGGCCCAGGGCAGTCTGTTGAACTTCACAACGACGGGGAAGTCATTGTACTCATCCCATACGCTTGGGCCGCCTCAGCCAGTTCTGCAATTGCGGGGGCTTCCGGGCTCTTTGGGGTTCCTGGTTCCTTTTAGGTCCTTAGGCTTGAGCCTCAGAACCCCATAACCCCCCCATTTGGACCCCCCCCCCTCATTTGGACCCCCCCTACAGCAAGTGCGTGCTGAAGATGCGAACCGTGCTTTGCTTGCGAAGCTTGATCTCATCCTCGCGAGATCTAAGCCCAGCCTCAAAAATGCCTGTCAATGGTGCCCGAAGCGGGCCTGAGTTTGTGGGGTGTCTACAACTTATTGCCTTGAGCCACAGGGTTACCGCCGTGTCCATGCTACTCAGAATCAACACCTCTTACCAAAAAACATGTGCCAAATCTAAGGTTCAAGGGCGGCTGCGCTTGTTTCTGCTGGGATTGATCCTTGTTAGGGAGTAGTTCTCATCCCTCAAGAACCACAACTTCAAACTTCAAACCTCCACCACAAATTTCCACACCAAACAAAAATAATCAAAATCCGGGCAAGGGGCGTCCTGTGAGCATGAACTGCTCTACCTTCCTTTTGTTGCACGCTGCCTCCACGGCTTGTTCCTGGCCGCGGAACCGCAACTTGGGCCGAACAAAACGGCCCGCAACCGCTTTAGAGGCCAAATGAGCTGCTTGCAGAAGTCGTTGGGTTACCTCTCAAAATAGATGGACCTCCCAAAATTGCAAAACCGTTTCCTTTGGTTTCCTCTACAACCCCAAGAGTAGCTCCAAGAAAAGGACATACCAAACAATCCAATGGAAGCTGGACAACCGTGGCCCTCCTATTCTGTGGCTGGACAAAATCCCTTCGCACCACTTTGAAACCATGGTTGAAACCATAGTGTGTTCGTATTGCAGGGGAGTCGAATGAGACACCAGGGCTTCTGAGGTGGTGCGTTTTAAGGATTTCGTCCATTTCCTTTGCTTCCCTCATATTTTTCTTTCTGGGGCAGCATCTCTTCCCGCCTGATAAGACACGCCAGCGCCTGCGCGAGGAAGCTGCTACGCAAAACCAAACCATTGTGGTCTCACGCCAACTCACTAACTCACTGACTCACTCACACTCACACTCACACTCACACTCGCACTCACACTCACCACACCTCACACCAAAATGGCCTCTGGGCATCGGTTCTTTTGGTGCCATGTCTCTGACTATGTGGGCCTCTGTCGGCGCACAGAGAGTCTTCGGGCCTGCAGCGTCAAAACAAAGCTTGAGACCAGAAGCGAACCGACCCACTCACCCCCAAACCAGTGGCCTTTGACCTCACCCCCACCCCCCCAGAAAAAAAAAACGAGCCAGTCAAAATATGGCTGTGGGTCAAAACCAATGGGATCCCATTTTGGGGTTAGGTGCACCACCCATTTTAGAACCTACTTTAGTGGTTGGATTGAATCGGATGTGAAAAACTGGGGGCTAACCGATTTGGGTTTTGAAACGCCCATGTATGACACAGCCGTGCTTTGCGCCTGAGGCCCCAACGCATAGCCCAAGCCCTCTGGCTCGGGCAGCAAATACTTGGCTGCCTCGGATCGGATCGTCCGTTGCCCGTTGCTTGTCGGCCTGAACTCTTCTCACCGCCCGTTTCAGCGGCTCCCCGCCCTGAAGTAGTCTCTGCAAGAATGGACTCTCTTGGCGGAACTCCGAGGGAACTCCAAGTTGGTGAAACTAAGGAACTGTCTGACTAGACCAATGCTTGCGAGCAGCAAATACCAGGCAGCCATGGAGGCAGGGTTGCAGGCAGCTCGCCATGTTTCTTTGGGAAAGCTTTGGTTGCAAAGCTTCCAAAGTATCCAAAGATGTCATGTTGCAATTCTCGCTGGTGTGTCTTGCATGATGGCGCTAAGTGATCATCTGGCTTCTGACCGTACAGTGCGGCTTGATGCAAAACAGCACCCCGGCCATATCTTCCATCGATCACTCCGCGCGGTTTGCATTGACGGCAACAGAATGCTCTCCAAGCCTGGAACCATTAACTCTCGATTCACGACTCTCGACTCTCGCTTCTCATCTCTCAATTAAATTTAGAACTCTAAACTCCCAAGACCCCACTCTTCACTCTCGATTTTCGCCACAACACCAAAATACAAGCTTCATAATACAAACCAAACTTACAAATACGCATCTATCAACTTGAAAATCAAGCATCTCCTATATTCTTAAAAGCAAAACAAATCACACAATGCACTATTATCATGTCCATACAGAATATCCCCAATTTCAAATGATTTAATATACGACATGATAATACGTCAATGACGTAAACTTTAAATCATGGTTGTTTGTGTCTTAACATTGTTTCTCAATTTTAATACCACGATAGGACCATATTCAATATATTACCAATGACTTAAATTAAATGTCAAATATTATATATATATATATATTGACAACAATTAATATTGAATTCACAATATTTAACTTATATTGTATACATATATATATATATGCGAGTCATTGATGATAATATATCAGATTAAATGATATACGTGTTCGATGATTGTCATTCAGGCATTGCGTCTGTCAGATTCGTTGGCTTGTTGGTGCAGGCGCAATGACCCTGCACGCGCATAACCGCGCCGTGCTGGGGTGCTTTGCCTCGTGTCAGCTGGCAGGGCGTGTGGCTTCCTTTTCGAAACCAAAAGAAGTACCTGGAGTCTCCTTCTGAGACAAATCAAAAATGGGTCATGACCAACCATTATTTTGGGTAATGACCAACCCTTTTTAAAGGTCAGAAGGAGACTCCAGGTACGTGTTGGGGTCCATTTGGAAGGAGTTCGGGGGTTCGGGGGTTCGGGCAATGTACGCTTTTTGGCCTGTTGTTTGAGGGCTCCACCAGACAAACCCAACCAAACAATGCCTCGCAGGTCATGGGCGAGATGAAGGTGAGCAGGCATTGCCTCGCGTGAAAGGCCGGAGAATGCCGGGGACCTCCTCACTTCATTTTTCTTTGGGGGGGGGGTAACCGCTCCCATGGATTGAAAGTGGTGCAGGATTTTGTCCATCCACAGTATTGCAGGCCCATTAGCCAGACAGGGGTCCACACAGGAAGGGTTTTGGAGGACTGGCCACATCGAAGACAGCCAGGGGGGCCCTCCAAAATCTGGATTGGGACCTTGACCCCAAAAAGGAACCCAGTTACCCCCGCCCCCCACCATGTTTGTTGGTATTTACAGGGGAATCGAATCATTCCAGGGTTTCTTAGGAGGCAAAATTGATTTCGTCCATCCATAGTAGGAAAGTAAACTTGCTTGGATTTTCCGGGGCTGGAGAACGCCAGAAGAGGGCTTTTCGTATTGCTTGGGGCAGGGGGAGGGGGCGGGCTAGCCTTGAATGCGGGGGGTACCCTTGACGAGCTTGTCAAACCTTGCTTTTGACTGTTTACAATGTGTCATAAGACAACTGCGGATTCCGCCAGCCGTTTTCTGCTGATTTCGGGAATGGCAACCCTTGAGTATTAGCAATAGCTTTAGTAATTCAAGTAACTTTCTTTGGACTTTGTGGGATTTGGGGCCGGAAAGGAACGTCTTTGTATAATCAGAGCGACTGCCAGGCAATGGCACCTGCCAGAACCCCGCTGAAAAAATCGCGTCTTTCATTAGAGGGGGCTTATTCGTCAGGGTTCCCCGCATGTCCCACTTAAAAGATCAGCCCTGCCAAGGGAAGCTCACCTGAAATTTGCAAAAGCCGTGTTTCAAGCCACCAAAAAGGGAAAAGGGACCTCTGCGTGAAGCAAACACGGACCTGACTTGCTCAAAAAAGCCCCCCCCCGGCGCCTGTTCAGACTCCACCGTTCTCCAACACCCCAAGTGCTTCACTTTGACGCTTCCCCAAAACCGGTATCCTACACACCCAACTGTTTCTCTGCAGTCCCCGTTGACCGCGAGCCTGTGCGTTGGTTGAAAGCTGTCGGGCACATAGACCGGCAGCTCTTTGCCAACCTTACTGCACAAGGGGACCCGATTTCCTTTTTTTCCGGCCCCTGAAAGGGCAAGTGCTCAAACAAAGCTTTGGGGTTGGGGAAAACAACCCCCCCACCGGAGATGGTAACCCTAGTTCCTCGGCAAGTTGACATGAAACATCATGAAATTCAAGAATCATCATGTCATGAGTGTAGAGGAGGGGGACCCATTTTTTCCTTAATTCGTAGCGGAGTACGAAGCAAACTGCAACAAGCGCCATGACTCGCTTGCTTTCTGCTCCCCTGCTAAAATTTCAAAAGTGACTAACTTTGAGTGGTTTAATCCGGAAAACCCATCAGTTGGCGAACAGTTCTTCAGTCCCAACATCCCTTGGCAAACTGCACCAAAGGCTTGTTGTCCACGCCAAGCTCGCCCACTTGAGCTGCCGGCCTGGTGTGCACAGCCGGCCTCCAGGGGGAGAGAATTTGGTGAGACGTACCCAAAACTTCGGTGCCCCGCCTCACAGGCGAAGTGCTTTCGCAGCAGGTTGCAGTCGTTGAGAAAGTACAGCCTCGGCATGCTCCAACCTGAACGTCCTGAACGAAGTACGAGCCCCCCAAAAAGCATTGCTCACAATGCCCTCTGGCAAAACCTGCATTTTCCCGTAAGCCCTCAAGGAACCTCGACAAAAGGGCTTGCGGGAAGGGCGCAAACCCACATCCCTTCCATGGGTTCCAAAGTGGTACCCTTAAGGTCGTAGCTTGCGCCATTTCTTGTCTCACCCCTTTCGCCCAAGGACTAAGTCCTCCCATTCAAACGGCCAAAAGACCTGGGTCCGGAACCCAAATCGATTCCCTACTGAGATCTGCACTGGTTCTTGTCGCAGCTGGACCTCCTCATGAGGATTGACATGAGAATGTGTCCAAGAACCATAGGTGTCCTTCTGGACAAATCGACGAAACTGATAAATGGCTTGACCAAACTCTGAACAAGTGGAACCAATCAATTCTCAACCAACCCCAGAAGGACTCCGACGCAAACCCCTCCATACCTTGGGTGCATACCCCAACCCATGAAGATTCCTTCAT